ACAATTGTGTAAGACATGTTGAGAAGGCGTCCTTGAACGACCTCCCTTGATACTTCGTCATCTCGTATAGTCTTTCACATCCTCCAACTAGACGAAAATCTAGTGAGAAAAGCATCTAACGACTTCGGGCGGATAGCGAAGCTCCCTATGACCGACGAGTCAGATGGAGGCGTCAAACAGCGAGGTTTCCTCCTGTGCAATGTGGACGGAGGAGCATGACTAGTTCAGTCAATTCTTTGACTAGCATCCGAGCTGCACAGTAGTAGGGAGTTTCGTTATCCACCTGTGTCTCGCCGTGCTTACCAGTTGAGAGGAAATCTGCAATTAATATCCCACACGATCTATGGACCATTTCTCCACCATGTAGAAATCCTCGAAGCGCTGCCAGTAGCATGACCTCCCATACATAAGGCATCCACCCGTTTTTGGCCATCTGATGGAGCTTTGCCTTTGTTTGTTCCCAACTTTCCATGTGATCGTCTTGCTTACTTGATACTAGAATATGAATGCGAAGGCTAAACACGAGTGGTTGTAAAAATGGTTTGAAATCATCCCAACGATGCAATGGTTGACCGTCATGCAACAGATACAGGAAAGGCTGATCGAGCTGCCCGCTTTCAGCCAGTCCACTTGTATTCATGTCAATGAAGAGCGGTTGCTCCAATTGTAGCAGTGCAATGAGCGCGTTTTCTAGTTTCTTCTAGTTTCTTCTCATCGTTAACTCTCTTGGGCAACCCTGGAATACATTCGCAATATTGTTGAACTTGTTGGTAAATAAAGTCACGGGTGCCTTGTTGTACTAGCACCCGCCTCAAATCTTCGTTAGGTTTTGCGCTTCCGATAGCCATAATTGCCTCGTCGACCGTCTGATCTTCGGTTGAGTTGGCGATCGTCCACGCGAGGATATGCGCCTCCATCTCCGTTTGCTTCGGCTTTGCAAGTCCAGCGTTTATGAATGATGTGATCGAGTTTTTCCATGAAGACCACCTCTGAAGCTGAGGCAGGTTGGTGGCTCGTGGCTTCCGTCGAGATCGCCTCGCCTGTAACGAACCCTCGAGAATACCAGTAATCGGTGTTTGGAAGGGAAAGCTAGGGAAGAATAGAGGGAAGAAAGTGAAGATGATGTACAACAACGTCGCTATTATCGTAAAGATTAACGTTATGACCCAGATGCGGACATCGTTATCCCATATTTGAATGATGAGTCCAACGAAGAACAGTATTAGCGATAGTTGGATCAGTAATGGGATGATGTTGATAACAGGGCCAAGTTTCCACAGTTGAGCTCGTGTGGCGCGAAGATGACGCTCACATGCATCACTTGCACGCTCACGTCGTGAAGCAGGATTGTAGTAGGCAATCCAACCCTTGGCTAGTACGCCACTCAACGCGCTGATGAGCGTGAGCGTGAAGCTGCAGTACCATAAGGCATTGACGTGAAGCGAGGAGGGATCAGGTTGAAAGTTGGACGTGGGCGAGACGGGTTCGTTGATTAAAATACTGCGAATGTCTTGAAGCAGCCGTTCTTGTGGATCTTCTTTGAGGCCCCCACTCGATTCTATGAGAAAGGAAGTGATGATGCTCGCAAACAAACCGGCCTAGCGTTGGATTTGGTAAGAACGGACCGGAAAATATAAAGTGCTGGAATGCAACTTACAAATATCAGAAGAGAATCCAACCCATTATTCCATATTGCCGTCAGTTCTTGATCCTCGAGATTCGCCTCTTTGAGGTAGAGGCCCCAAACCTGGGCGTTCTCCTGACAACTCTTGTAATTCGGCTTTCTTTCGTCTCCTTCGAGGCCTTTGGTATCAGGAGGTTGGGACATGAAGCCTTCGCCTCTGTTTGTAATTGTCGGAGAGTCGAGTTCGCTCCTCCTGACAGCATTTCCGTTAACTGCCAGCGAAGTGACTTTCTTGTTCCGTGATTTGACTAATAGAACTAAGATAAGATGTCCAAATCATACAAGAGGGGTATGCGCGGTGTAGCGCGGTACTCACGTGGCCCTTTTTCCAGGTCCCTTGATCCCTTTCGGCGAGTCTATAAAAAGCGCTTAGTTAAATCTGATAATAATCGTTCATCCGATACACACTTTCCCCCTAGCCCTCAACATTGCACAGATATAGAGTTTCCGGGTTCAACAAGTGCTCTCGCTGGTGTAGGTGGGTCGAAGCGTGCGGCAAGAAAGTTTGGCTAAATTGGGCAGCATCTTTGCACCCCCCCCTAACTGGTCCTACCTTTCATCGTTCTTTAACCTCTCCGTTACATTGTAAAACCAAATTCTCAATTCGTTTAATGCGGTAATCGAGCATGAGATTCAGAGGGGCTATCCAGCGCATTCGCCACGCCGAAATGATGTTAGACCAACGACACGGGGGTCGTGTCTCACTCTTAATTTCAGCTCATTGTCACTAGATGCAATTCATTTTGATTCCATTACATGTATATGATATGAAATCCAAATAAAATATCTACGGTTCAGTTTATGTCTACGTTAATTCTCCCAAAAATGTCGCAGGAGAATGTAGAATCTGCACAAGCTCCCTTTTATGTTATGGGACTTCGAGCCTTTCTTCTGCCTCTATCGATGAGAGGTTCCTTCAACCAATGGCCATATGTCCATCACAAGGTTGATTCGCGAGTTATATGTTTGCTTGGCCATCAGTTCCTGTCCCTCTCTGATGCATATAATTGGGATTGGTGATTATTTAAGAGTGAGACACGACCCCCGTG